ATTTCTGGTATGGTATTAATATTATTTTTTTTTGCTTCAAATCCCCTATCAGTTTCTCAATCAGAGTCTGAACCTCAGTTTTTCAAATGAGTATCACTTGAAGTTCCCAAAGTGACAAAACAGCGGATAGGGAAAATTTCCATATGTGGAAAATTCAGAATAGGATAACATATTAAGAGATTGATTAGCTGAAAGTTGTCACTGTTTTTTTCAAAATGGAGGAAGAAAAATTTCGCGTTTGTTTGTTCAATGGTACAAACTTTGGAAGCTGGATATTCAGATTGGAGGCGATTTTGGATCAACATGATCTTAACAAGTACATTGAAGTAGAACTAAGTACTTTGACTCTAGGAAAAGATGCTGCGGTTATACAATCCATGAATAAGGAAGAAAAGAAGGGCAAAGCAATCATCATCAACCACATTGCTGATGAACAACTGGAATACATTAAAGATGAGTCCATTGCAAAGGGAATATTTGATTCATTGAAGTCTATTTTTGAGAGAAAAACTATATCCAGTCAATTATTTATCCGCAAAAAATTACTAACAATGAAGTACAAAGAATCGGATGATTTTATTGAGCTTTGATAAAATCATCAGGGAACTCAAAGATTCAGGTGCACAAGTAGAGAATACTGATTGTGTTTGACATTTATTGTTGAGCTTACCCAAATCAGTTGAAGCAGTAGTTGCTGCACTTTGTCAAGGCACGTTTATTGGATGAGAATGATAAAAGGAAGAATGTTGTGCAAAGATACCACAATCAATCTTTAGCTTTTGGAACCCAGAAGCAAAACTTTCCTCACAAATGTTATAACTGTGGAAACATTGGTCACAAACGGGATGAATGTCGTAGTAAATCAAAGGCTACAAAGAACCAGTACGAATATGAACAAAGGGATGAAAGACACACTCACCAATTCGCTAACTCTTGAGGAACCACTAATCAAGTGGAAACACACAATTACTGCTAGAAACTATTAAAACAATCTTCAACAATTCAGTTATTAATGTTAACAACGTGTTATATGTACCAAACTTGAAATTTAACCTAATGAGTGTATCAAAACTTGAAGGAAAATGTTTCACAGTAACCTTCAGTCAAGGTAAAGCTGTTATATCAAAAAATAACAAATTGTGTTTGAAAGCTCACCGCTATGGCAAATTATTTGAAATCGACTTGCCGTTCACACCTAGGAATCCTGTTTTAGCAAGCACTGTAGACATTGCCAACATGTCACATTTATTATTATGTCATAGAAGATATAGACATGCACAGAAACACCTTTTGAAACAGATATCAGACAAAAAAATTGTGGAAGGAATCCCAAGTTTTAAGAAACAAGATTTTCAATTATGTGAACCTTGTGTACAAGGAAAATTGTCTCGTTTACCTTATTCAACTATTGATAAACCAAAATCAAGTAGACCCATAGAACTGATCCACTCTGATGTATGTGGACCTTTAAAGCCAGAAACCATAGAAGGCTTTAAATACTTCACAACTTTTATTGATGATCATACCCATTTTGTTGTTGTTTATTTGTTGAAGAACAAAAGTATTTTCATGCTTTCAACCATATGAAGCTGAAGTGGAAGTACAATTCCAGAGCAGAATATCACGATTACGTACCGATAATGGAGGGGAATATACGTCAAATGAATTCAAGAACTTTTGTAGTTCATTTGGAATTGAGATGGAATTAAGTATACCTACTCTATAACCCTCAACAAAACGGTGTTAGCGAGAGGTTTAATAGATCACTATTAGATAAAACAAATAACAAAAGTTTGATCCAAGCCCCCTTTTCATTTAATGTGTGATGCAACAAATTTTAAAAAATGTAGAAAAAAATGGAATTTCAGGTCTGTCACCCCGTAAACGTGTTTTTATAAGAGATCCATTTCCTTATTTTTTTCTTTGGGAAGCCATTCCATTTACATGACCTGACCTAAGGAATAAGTTATCACTCCGAATTGAATACATTAAATATTTTCTGAAGGTCAGACACTTCAACCAGTTACGTCGAAATCATTTATAACTTCCAAAATGAAAATTAGTCGCTGAGCATAAATATTTTTTGAACGTTGCTTCTTTCGATAATCTGCACACGGAAATATTAGTTTATAACCAATTTAAGAGACAAATCACTTGATATCGAAGAAGATACACATTCAATTAGGGATTTCCATGTTGTCAAGTTCGAAAATAAAGGATCGTTAAGGTGAACGGAAAAACAGATTTTTTTAATAGATTAAATCATATATTTGTTCTTGCTTGATAACCCACACAAACTATTTGGTATTTTCCTAAATTCAAGTTTATAAACGGGGATCATCAATTATCCCATTTCGTTTAGGAATTCATCTGTTTTTGTTAATATCTGCGTACATTTATTGCTTTGAGTTTGACAACATTTCAAGCTTATTATCGTAAAATTTGAGACTTAATTATTTGAATACCTTTACGGTACCTAATTCTTATATAGGTTGTTCTGAAACACTTCAATCTATGCACCATATAGTTATATAAAAAAATATTTATTTTAGTATGCACCATAGTTATATAAAAATATTTATTTTAGTATGTTACATATAGTCTTATAATAATTGTGACATAATCACCTAGAATGTTTGTTATCTGTTTAAAATGTGGCGTCCTTGGACAAGTACTTATAGTAATAACGAGTGTGGTAACAACGCAAGCTTTTTCCAGTGTAGTGATTCCCATAACGATGGTGAACAATGCAAAAAAGAGATACCAGTGAATAATATTCGGATGCATTTGAATATTGAAACAGAGAGTAGAGAGTATGTTTCAATGTATATAGAAATCTAAATCTCAAGTTTGGTTTCGAGGAAAACAAACTATTACAAGGAACAGACAGATTTGAACATCCGATTTGACCGAAATTCCTTTCTCAATTGTAAAATAGTCAAAAACAAACCTTATGAACGCAAGACGCGATGTGATACAGGAGTACCGAAACCTTTAGATGTTCATCTAATAAAATCATTGAAAAAAACAATATACGTCTGTTACAAAACCAGTGAGATTCCTACAACTGAAATCATAAGGAAGAAATTGAATACTTCCGGCCATATCGTGAGCTGCTGTGACAACTCTTCAGAATTGGATAAACTAGGATTTAGATTTAAAATAATAAACAAACAATAAAATAAAGAATAGTGGAATTGCGTAACAAATACTTAGAACAAATAACTAAATATAGACAAGAACAACGCCAAATTTGGACGAAACTCGGTATGACACTCAGGACACAGTTACGTAAGGGTGGACATAAGAACACGGAAGCTAATATTTTCGAGGAATGGTTTGAAAACACATTTTGACCTTGACTTCAACCTCAAGATATCTTCTAATTGATATATTGTGATTCTTATTTGATCAGAAATGACCATTGAATAATGAATTTAGTTAGCTCCCTAACTATATCAATAAAAGGAAGCTGTTGGAAGGTAGGTTGCACTACATCGTTTACTTGAACTATACACATGAACACTGAAAATGGAACCTTTTATTAGATTGGATTTCCAATGATTCAAAATGTATTGAACTGTATTGTCATCAAAACTAAATATGTCTACCAAATATCAGATCAATCTTATTGATTATTAGTCTTGCTAACATTTTTTCTCCAAGATCTTAGATATTCAGACACGTTTCCTTCTTTGTACTCAATTGTGAACTGTGTATATTTTGTGAAACAAAATGCGTGATACATCATCGAAATGTTTTATTCATTAGAAAGACCTATTGACCTATTATGTGTGGAATATAACATTGGTCAAATGTCCACCACGGATTCTCTAGATGAAGCGCATCCAAATTGTCAAATTTTCCATGACTGGCGCATAAATCAGGCTGAATTTGACCTATGACATGGGTTATGTTGGTTTAAAGGACCGCTGTGGTTCTGGACCGTATGTGTATTTGCATACACGACTCAAAAAAACTCCACAAGAAAAGGTCTAACGGAGTCAATCGCTCGATCTCGGTGGCCAGTTCACATCTCCTCGTGAGATGATCATGCCACCAATGTGACATGAGCCTTGTAGCACGTAGCGCCGTCCTGTTGAAACTACATGTCGTTGGTGTCCAGATCATCAAATTTAGACCTAAAGAATTTGGTAAGCATCGACTTATCACTGGTGACAGTGATAGTCTGGCCAACGACATTTTCAAAGAAATATGGGCCGCTAGCCCAAAATCGATACCAAACAGTGACTTTTTCAGGATTCATTAGACGCTCTTGTATCTCATGTAGATTGGTATCGTCCCAAATTCGACCAGAAATGGGCTTCGTCGCTGAGGATGATTTCTCGATGAAAATTAAGGTCAGTTGCCAACTGCTTCAGAACCCATTCGAACACACATCAAATTCAGTTCCTGGGTCAGTTGAATCATAGACAGCGGCGATGTTTTCGGCAACTATCGCGTTTCGCCGACGTATGGGTGTTGGCCGATCGTTTACTCAATCAGTGGATTCAAATTCATCCACCACATTGCGAATATTCCTCTCGATAGGATGATTATGGCGACCGTAAAATGGGCGAAGCGCGCGGTACGTTGCTCGAATAGAACACTCATTTTGATAAAACAAATTTATTATTTGCACGTGTTGTTGAATGCTATATCCGCCCATTGTGATTTAGCAAAATAGACTGGATAAATGACAACTAATTTGACCGTTGTAGCTTCAACATGATTGCCGTTATCAATTGTCAAAGTTCGAAAGTCTCTGTTGGAAGACCCTATACGACATTTTTGTATCTGAGTATTTTTCAAAAAAATCTCGCTTTTTTGACTCATTATTTAATAGTATACAGTCCACTAGAAGGGGGCCAGCAAGCCCAAAAACCAAAATTGGGACCCAACATAACAAATTCTGGATATTTTAGGAATCCTTGTTGGTAATATGTCCAATAAGGCTCATTAAAAAAGGGTATAAACTGAGAAAACAGCTCGGAATAAAATTTCAAGTATTCTCGCGTTTTTACTGATTATTACCATACATAATAACTACAAAGTTATTTATATTTACTGTCATAGGCAGATTCCTTGCAGTTATTCTGAAATATCCATTTACTTTTTCATTCACATATCACTTTCAATTCATTTATTTCAGCGCAGGAAATCGTTTCACATAAGACACACGGCACGGTGTGTTCTTACAGGAACACTCTTCTGTCTTATGGCCAATCTCCCCTTTGAAAAAGCAAAATAATACTGATTCGGGTACATTCATCGCTTGGACGTGTCGCTTAACGTTTTGGTATTTGACAGGAACAGTTCGTGTGATTTGTAACATTTTTAAATTTCACCGTATCATCTCTATTCGTATGGTCGTAATATTTTATTGTTATCGTTTGTATCTCCAATGGAAAACACACGTTTTGTGTCTTGCAACAGCCAGACTCTTCACACCTGAAAAAATAATAGATTGTCATAAGTAAATACTTCGACTAGACATGTATCGAATAGTGATGCTTTCAACTGAAAAAACTTATTGGTTATAATTCATATGAATTCTTTGACCAAACACTTAAAGTTAGCGGCACTCTCAAAGGCCAATAAAATCAATACATAAAAATGAAATAGCTGCAAAATAGTCCACGCGGACTGAAGAATTGGTGGTTCGAATTGGATAATTTTTACTAACCAAGTTTTATGATTGGCTGAAGATTCATAAAATTAAATTTGAAGTCATGTTACGGTGACAAATAGAAATCGGGGATGGTTATCGCCGTCGTGTCGTCAATGTTCAGTTCAGGAACTGATCGCGATTTGAGTGTTGAAAATATTGGTGCAGTTATAATCACTTAATTTTTTTTTATTTGTTTGAAATGTGGCGTCCTTGAACAAGTACTAATAGTTATAACGAGTGTGATAACAACGCTGACTTTTTCCAGTGTAGTGATTCCAATCTATGGTGAATAATGCGAAAAAGAGATACTAGTAAATAAGATTCAGATGCATTTTAATATTGAAGCACAAAGAGTATTTTTCAATGTATATAAGAATATACATCTCAAGTTTGGTTTCAAGGGAAACTAACTATTACAAGCAACATGAGATTTAACCGAAATTCCTTTCTCAACTGTACGTAAAATAGTCAAAAACAAACCTTATAAACGCAAGACGCGATATTATACAGGATTACCAAAACCTTTAGATGTTCATCTAATAAAATCATTGAAAAAACAATATACGACTGTTACAAAAGCAATGAGATTTCTACAACTGAAATCATAAGGAAGAAATTGAATACTTCCGGCCATAACGTGAGCTGCTATGACAAAACTCTTCAGAATTGGACAAAGAAACTATTATTTAAAATAATAAACAATCATGGCGAGCAGAAGCAGAAAGCAGAAGAATAGTGGAATTGCGTAACAAATACTTAGAACAAATAACTAAATATAGACAAGAACAACGCCAAATTTGGAAAAAATTCGGTATGACACTCAGGACACAGTAACGAAAGGGTGGACTGATGGTTCGAAAATATGTATGCCTAACATGCCTGCAAACAAATAATCTAATCATTGTGCATTGCGGAGGAAGTAAAGGATGGGTTCCGAATTCTTTAAAATTATATGGAAAAAACTTGAGAAACTTGAGGACTGCAATGTTGACTATCATAAGAACATGGAAGGTAATATTTTCGAGAAATGGTTTGAAAACACATTTTCGAGGACAAAACACAAGCACTACAGGAACATCTTAAAGAAGCTCTTAAAGCGATGCATGTGCGAAAGTAGTGATTCATATTGGATTTGAATCCCTGGAGATTAAATCCATTTGGAAAAACTTTCTCAGAAAGTTTACTCTGAATGAAAGAGGTCTTAAGCAGTGAAGTTCGAGGTGTACTGAGTTGAACCTCAGCTACGGTCTGTCGCGTATATCTGATATGTTCCGCTCTTGGTGGAATAAAAGGTGCCAAGTCACTTGAACACTTTCCGTGAAAGTGTCTATAAGAAAGAGATAAATCTTCAACTATCAAGGTTGCAAGTGATGTTCGCGTCTCCAATCAGGCGGATGGCCCTTTTCTGGATGGAATTCAGCAGCTTCAGGGTATATTTGGGGGAGGAGCTCCATACATGATCTGAGCTTTATGAAGCATCAAAAGTTGCTGAGGTGTGTACAGTTTTCTGGTTCAGAACAGTATTTCAAGCTTTTGAGAAGCAGCCTTTGCAATTCCAGTGACATGATTGTGCCAAGCCATATGATATGGGTGTCCATTTTAACTCCCAAAAAACTTATCGAAGCAGAAAGATGATTTGTCTGACCTGACATTATTATATCCGGTTCGGAGACATTTATCTTCATGTTGAAAACCGATGCCAGGGTTTCTGTGGCATTGACTTGAACCTGGTTACTTTCACCCCAATTCGAAATTACTTCTAGTTCCTCATTAAGATATTTAATCTCCTGCTGTCGGTGAAGATGTGCTTCCGCAGCCGATGTCCCGGTGTCCGGTAATGACGAGATAAGTGTGCTGTCGTCAACAAAGCAATATATTGGATCAAAAGAGGGTTGGAGACAATATGAATCCTTGAGAAACACCAGCGTTGATGGTGGAAGTATTCGAGAGATATCCATCGACAGCTACTTGCAGGGAACGTTCTTTCAGGATGCTGAAGAGCCATACACAAAAATGATCCGACAAGCCTTAGCATTGACGTTTGACCAGTAAACCCTCATGCTACACACGGTCAAAGGCCTTAAAAATATCAAACGCATGTTTCTCGATTGCGTTATTGCAAATATGGGTAACATACGATAGAAAGCCATATTGATGATCGCTTAAGATGTTGAATCCTTCCAAATATTTGAGGATATGGTGGTTTACGACTATGTCCATGATTTTTGATATCACTGATAGCAAAGCGACTGGTCTATAGTTATTTGAAAGAGTTTCCTTGCCCTTTTTGGGAATAGACTGAATGCGAGCAATCTTCCAAGAAGAAAAAACCCATTCCTTGTAAGACAGGTTGAAAAGTTTGCAAAATACTGGAGTTCATTTGCGCACTTTTTAAGTACGATGATGAGCACTTCATCAGGACCAGGTGCCTTATTGATATTGAGCTGTTTCAAAATTCGCCTGACTAGACGCTGTTGAAAAGTAATTTCCAGCATTGTGGATTCTAGTGTGGGAATAGTAGGTGGTGTCTTTCCCAGAAAATCTACTATGAAGTGAGAAGCAAATTTTTCAGCCAGTAGATTTGCTTTTTCTATGGCTGCTGTTGCAATTGAACCCTCCGCTTGTGTGGTGGAATTGTGGAATTTGTAAAGTTCTGATTAACTGCTTCAGCTTGAAAAAACCAACATCAGGAAAAGGCTATAAAGTTCATTGATGGACAGAATTATTCAATAAGTAAATTCGCGAAGATCATGAACATTCCATTTATCAGTCTGGACAAGATGTACAAAAAAATAGAATTAAGACACCTCGTCTCCGTCTTCACCCTTGAGATGGAGAAAGACCTGGCGCATATAATCAAGAAAATGGATAAAATATTCTACGGGTGCACCCCAAACCATATAAAAAGAGCGGCATTCGAATACACTGAAGCCCTAATGCTGAAACACAAGATTGGCTGGCCGAGTTTGATTTGATGGATTTGTTACCAGAAATAATATTTCTGTGCGAAAGCCCGAAGCTACTAACATCAACAGGGTCACGGCCTTCAACAAAACTGAAGTTCAATGATTCTACAAGCTGCTAGAAGAATTAATGGAAAAATACAAATTTGTACTAAAAAATATACCTATACAATTGTGCAACCGATATATCTACCGTCCAAGATCCTCAAAAAAAATTAGCTGCAAGGGAGAAAAGAGAGTAGGGTCCATAACATTTTGGGAATGGAGTAAGAACATCATCCTGCTCTGCGCGATGAGTGCTGCAGGTGAGTATGTCTCGCCAGTGTTAGCAGCCATCGGATGTGTTCTCTTTTGGCCCATTCGAAGCTGCGTATAGAAGAGAATGCGACTTATTCACGAAGAGCCAACTTTCATAAATAATAACAACCTATGATGTTGCTTTGTTGGTCAAAAAACATTCTCCAATGCAAAACTCCACGAGCAAGGGCGAAGCTGAATTCAAAGTAACGGGTATACATCCTGCAAATCCCAATGTTTTTTCAGACGAAGACTTCATGGCAGCTGCAGTCCTTCGATTAGAGCCTATTGTTGTTCAAGATTTTGCTGACTATATTTCAAAATCGACTTCTGCTGGTGCTGTTGATTCTGTATCATCTCTAATAACTACAATTGATCCAGAACGAAATATTCCTACTCTAAGTACGTCCACATTTTGTCCCACTACTTCTGAAGCAGCGACTGCATCTTTGTCCCAATTTGAAATTCCATCAACGTCTAAGAATCTGTCAAGTATTCAGAATTTCATTCAGCAAGACAAGCAAGAAAAAAACAGCTCGCAACAAATTTAACATCTATATCAAGCAAAGATGCCCTAGTTGAGAAAAAAAGGATGATAAAAGCTGTGAAAAACAAAGGAAAAGGAGTAGGAGAGTAGAGCATGCCACAGAAGGTCAGTCGTGAGAAGGTTAAGTAGAAAATTCTGCAGGACTCCAATGATACTTTGATGTCAGACGTGAAAACGGACGAATTATGCCAGGATGACGATAACTACGATGCAGAAGATGCAAGTAACTTCTGTCTTATATATGGTTAATTCGAACGAGACAATGGTACCGGTGCACTTCTTTGTGGGCTTTGGGCTCATGCCGACTGTACTGGATGGGACTCTGAACACAATTATTTGTGCGATATGTGTTGATTACCATTGCCCACATGCTGATCACGATTACCAACATGGGTTGCCAACATCGGTTGGCAATGGTGTTACTTTTTTTGTTATTGTTTTTAGTTTTTTTATTGTTCCAAAATCAATTAACCAAAGTTATGGAAGTTGATCTCAATTGATAGTTAAGAAAGTTAAGTTTATGATAAGAACAGATCTATAAATAGTTGATTGATAGATTTGCTTTTTTCGTCATTCTCGCTTAGGTGATCCCCATTATCTACATCTCTTCTGTACAGTTTGAGGTCATCCTGATGAAACAAGTAGCTGACTTTATACCTGCAGTTTCCGTGAATGCCACAGTACCTCGAGTATTTCTGAGAGATGCAGAAAAAAATTAGGAATCACTCGGAAATACACTCCTTCTGTTGATGTTTTCATTCTTTAAAAATTATTACTTGATTAGTTTAGTGATCCAATAATTTTTTTAAAGAAATGTTGGGTAACAGAATCAATTTTTTCTTAAAAAAACAATTGTTTTCTTGCCAATGTTTCGATTTTGATTAAGTTCTTCTTTAGGGCTCGAAAAGTTGTTTCTCCATGTTAATATTACTATTTCAAAAACCATTAGACATATTAGATTATTAAAAAAAAATAAAAAACATTACAACAATCATATTTTCGAAACAACACCAACACAGAACGACATGAAATACACGAATCATTTGTTTGTTTCCTGTCATTATCAACCATATTGAAGTTTTATATTTCTTAAAGCAAGATAATAATATGACATGAAATAAATCAGTCAAAATTCAAGTAGATAACAATTATATCATCACCAGAATTATAGAATTTCCTCAAATAATAACAAATATCAATGGCAACGTTCAAAAATATGTTTCTTTCAAATACAATTCGAAAAATAATCTATCTCAAACAATCACTTTCTCGTACGTATATCGGAGTGATCATTGTTAGAAAAGAATATTTTAGTTACTATTTTATTTTTCTTTACTTTTCGAATCGAAAACATTCTATGTGCAATTTTTTTAATATTCAAACCACGAACCGAAAATTATGAATGTGTAAAAATTCATAGTTTATTTTTTATTTACCCGAAATCTTCATTCCTCTCTTGAGATTTCAGTTGGACTTGGCAGAAAATCTAGATTTTGAAAAAAAACGAGATCTCTAGAAAAAAGTCTAGAAAAACAAAACAAAGGATGTTGCCCTTCTGAAACTTCATGGAAAAAACTTCACATATCTATTTCAATATATTCGTGAATGAGTTGGATGTATTGGACGTCGTTGTAACGAAAAGCGGGTTATTTTTCTTTCATTTTCGAAGGTGATGACACATCTGGAGAAGATAATTCAGGCAAGTTGAAATGAAAAAAAAGTACTGTATCGATAGGGTTGATTTAAAAATCAACAAGCTGGGAGAAGGGTTATCTTGTTAGTTCATACCACATTTCAGATTTATGTGAATCAAAATTGTACTCATCCGAGAAACTCACATTAAATAATAAGTTAACATTTTATATCGATCGTTCACTCATGATAATTGGACGTTTCCTATATTTGTTTGTATGGAGATGAACCATATGCACACAAAAATGGATGGGCAACATTAATATTTGACAAATATTATCAAAAAGAAAATATAACGGAATGTACACGGGTTGCCAACGTAAAAAAAAAGATAAAAAGATACTACTTTTTTATTTATTTACAGTTTGACTTGCTTGAGTAGTAAAATATATATTCAGAGTGTATCACTACCCAAACTCAGCCAGTGCATCCCCTATTCACGAAAAGTAACGAAAAGGTAATTTTCGAAGGAAATTCAGTTGTTTTAGGATTAGATCTGATGATGTCATGAAAATTGAAGTTTGACAAACTTTCCGTCATTTATGACCACTTACTCTTGATGCTGTCAACCGTCAACGATGTTATTTGTTCGATAGGTAACATTTATAAAATTATATTTATACCTTAATTTAGTATATTGTTTTAGTTTATATGTTATCTTCAATAATCAGATTGGTACAGTGTGTTTCTATTGTTTCCATTTCAAAGCTTCATTTCTTCTGAAGGAGTAGACTGAATTCACAAGTGAAGCAGCAAAGAATGGGGAATGGGGAATCACTCGACTCATTTCCATTAAAAAAAAATGAGTACTCAATTCTTAACATTACTCCAGTAGGACCCAAGTATCTACTCCCATGAGAAGAAGATTTGATGTTCGTCACAGCTATGGAAACCATGGTAATGATATACACTTGCTTATATCGGTTTTACCATCGGTGGCACAGAATATACTATCTTGTGTCGTTTTCATATTCGACTGTCTTTCGTTTTGTAGAAACGATCAGTGTATTACAAATAAACGCAGTTCTCCAAATGAAAGAGTTCCTAAACAGTGAAGTTCAAGTTGTACTGAGTTGAGCCTCAAAACGATGAGCAGCCACAATCCGACGCGTATTTCTGATATGTACCGCTCTTGGTGGAATCAAATGTACCAAGACACTTGAAAACCTTCTCATGAAAGTATCTATAAAAGAGAGACAAATCTCCGACTTTTTTTAGATGTTCCAGACTATCGAGGTTGCAAGTGATGTTTGTGTCTCCAATCAGACAGATGGCTCTTTTTTGGATGGTATCCAGCAGCTCCAGGGTATGATTAGGGACGGAGCTCCATACATTTCAACAATAGTTCAAAGAATGTCTGATATGAGCTTCATTAAGCATCAAAAGTTGTTGAGGTGTGTACAGTTTTCTGGTTAGGAACAGTATTCAAAGCTTTTGAGAAGCAGCCTTTGCAATTCCAGCGATATGATTGTGCCAAGACATATTGGTGTCCATTTCAACCCCCAACAAACTTATCGAAGCAAAAAGCTCTCTTTCACTGATCAGATTATTTATTAAAGAGGTTATTTCAGGATATTTTGAAACTGGATGCAAATATTACCCATATCTGCTGTTCCTAAGGGTATGGAGGCTTGGGAACAATTCACGTATTCTTTCAAATCTAACTAATCTATTTTATATTAGAGGGCTGGACTTCTATTTTCCATTAAAATAAATGAAATATTAGCAAATACGGGGATATTAGCAAATACGGGAATCGAAATATTCGATGAGTTATTCAGAAAAGAAAATGCTAATTCTGAAGAAAACATTTTTTTGTGAAAAGGAACTTAAATGAACTAATAAATAAGTAGGTTGAACATTAAGTAGAATGTCAACTATAAGCAAACAATGAAAATAAAATGAAATTATAACGGAAATAAATGATGAAAAGATTAAAAAGATTAAAAATAAAAACAAAAATTCCAAACTATACTGAAAACTCTAACTTAGCTACCGAAATACTTATTAATTTTTTCGTATTCAACTGAAATAAAATCGATCTCAAAAAAATTGTAGTCTACTCTAAGAAACAGGTATTGATAAATGACGAAGAACAATATCACAGATATGTAGCTTTTTATTCTGTAGACAGTGTGTTTCATTAAAAAACATCTGTTGAAACTTGAGGTTACCACCCATCACTATACAACTACTCCGAGCATACAAAACAATTTGAAATTACCTATTCCTTGCAACTCTCTGGCCAAGGATTCCTTATTTACAATGATGTGAAGATATATAACCATCTGCCGAGTTACACTAGAGACAAATATTGATACCAATCAATACACAAAAATAATTGAATACATTTTGAATAGTAGACCCTATTATACGAAGGAAATATTAAGAGCAGACAGTTGTTGGTTCATAGATGGATCAAAAACACCTTCCGGTTCTGGTGCAGGTGTTTTCAGTCGCAGACCCAGGACAGAGATATCAACCTGCAACCTATGCGACCGTATTTCAAGGGGAAATTTATGGTATTGAGCAACGTCTGAATTGGTAGCAAATTGCCAGTAACGACTCTCCTCGATAGGAAAACTCAACAGATTGTCTCTGGTCTGGATTCCTGGCCATACTGGCCTGGAAGGCAATGAGGTTGTTGACTCCTTTGCAATGGAGGATGACGCAAGCAGCTTCATCGGATCAGAACCTGTCATTGGCATCGCTTTACGCTTTGCCAAACAAACATTGAACACCTGGATAACAAGAAGATTTACGGACTTCTGGCAGAATCTTCCAGGATTGGCTCACTCCAACGCGTTTATTTCCTCTTCGAAGCTTGATACCAAACAGTTGTTGGATTACAGTAGGGATGAACTAAGATGTCTAACAGGCCTCCATACAGGTCACTGTCATTTGAATTATCGGCAGAGCCGTACTCTTACCATCTGACCTAACGACCACTCACCATACAAACTAATCGGCTTCGTCAAGAAGCTGGGTTTATTTGGTCAAGTGTGAATAGGTATGAGGCACAATAAACCCGCAGGGGTTTATTGTGCCTGTTTATTATAGTTTGACTGAGTTCTATACCGATCATTTCAACCTAGCATGTTTTATGTGTATGTATGTGTTAAGAATCAGGGTAAAACTAACACACGAAATTGTTTTGATCCATTGTTTCGAAAATAACAAAAGTAGTATCATTTTTAGCACAATAACTCACAAACTTATGAGTAGCATATCATGTAATCTCAACAGCTTCCTTTTGAAGCTGAGTACTAATTGAAAAAGCGGGAATGCAATATTGTTGTACCTAAATAAGGTTGACTCTTAGGGACAGTGCAGTGTTGGGGTTTCAATTGTAACTCTTTTAGGTGATGGAATTTGTCGATACTTCATGAACATCCATAACGTATTCAAGTAACACTTTATTGTTAGATTTTCGGTTTTGTAAAATGTTCATTGAAAATATCACAATGAAGTACTACTTGAATACAATATCAAATAAAAGAATAACTTCAACAACTTCCTCGAAATAATCAAGTTGGTCATAATTTCCCAAGATTCCTAGAAATCTGATGTGGTAGATCATCAATATTTAAGTATCTAAGACATATATACAATTCTCCTTTTATGGAAATGTCCGTTCCATCCCCACTCGAGAATACTACCGAGTAACTACATTAAACATACTCGTATAACCCTGATTTCAACTTGCCTAAAAAACTATCTCGAGATGTGTCATTACCGAATACTCTTGACAAGAAAAAATACATTTATTGATTCTTACAATGAAATGAAAAGTTTTGATTAAAAATTCAGATCGCACAAGTCACAGTGGCTATGAATTGAGCAGTGTTATCAATTTGATAGCCTCGTTAACCTCACTCTCCACATTATATGTATACTTTCAAACAAAAACGCAATACCTACCTATGAAATATAGCCATGTAAGGAGTCGTTTGACTTTTATTTCCCAAACCCACTAGCTCTCTGATCAAAAGTACCCTAGGTTTAGGATCTCCACATGGCATATCACACTTCATATCTGAGAAATCTAAAATTATTTGCTTCATGCTTCCGCAAAACACAAACATCACGAGTAAAAAGACAATTACGAGCATTAATTTTCCAAAAGTTTTTTTGCACACGGTTCGACACATTGCTAAAAGCACACTGCACTAGATGTGACGGAGCGATTCACAGGAATGTTCTGTTTTTAGTATTTTTCAAAATTAGATTAAAGGCCAGAAAGCCTGAACTCTCTATTTATCAATATTAGTTGATATCACATTATTCAGGTCTGGCTCTGTCATTTTGAGCTCGATAAAGAACATTTTGGCATGACCATTTATTTGTTTCTAATATTTCATTTTCTGTATAGGTAAGGTGTACTTTTATGTTATTTTGAATGTGGATTGTGGAGATAATTAGAACCTAATAATGATGTCATTTTGATATCCGAAGACAGAGAAAAAATTTTGTTGTCTGAGATATTTATCACATTAAATATTTTAACGATGATGTTTCGCTACAACTTATATGAGTTCTATACCAAACAATTCTTGCAGTCAGATGGAAAGTTCTTGCACATTTACTTACTTTGACAGTTTTCGTGTTTCACTGTCACTGTGTCAGTGTCTGGCATTTATCTAGTTAGTGGTAATATTTTGCGACTTTTGTCCCAGAAGTAGGTACCCGGCCTGACCTAGAGATAGCGGCAATTGTTTGAAAAATATCACTATATTAGAATATATACAATCTACAAAGCACATGTTTAAAGTTTGAAGACGCTGTGTTGTTTAGTATTTGTTTGGCAGACAAACTATTGAAAGATTTACTCTCGAAAACAATACACTGAATTATATTTTCAACTGATACACACTGCTCTATCACTTATTACTCATTCATTCTACTTTTCTCCTTCCCATTGTCCTAAGCAACCCAACTGATATAAAATAATGCTTATGATGAATTTTGAATTCATCTACTCAATATTATCATTAATATTTTTCAAAACTCGCACTGTATAAAAAGTAGATTGAGATACTTAGATGGAAGAATGGAACACTACGACACAAGCATTCATTGCTTAGGTATATTCTATGTTTCCTTTGTGTTTTCCAAACTTTTCAATCAGTCTTACAAGAAAGGGGTTTTTCCTTTTTGTTGGAATATTGCTCGCGATCAACTAATTCCCAAAAAGGGCAAGAAAATTTTTTCAAATAACTATAGACCAGTCGCTTTGCTATCAGTGATATCAAAAATCATGGAGAAAGTCGTAAACCACCATATCCTCAAATATTTGGAAGGCCTCAACATCTTGAGCGATCATCAATATGGCTTTCGGAAACAAAGATCAACAGGCGACCTTCTATCGTATGTTACCCATATTTGGAATAACGCAATCGAGAAACATGGAGAATCAAGAGCTGTTGCGCTTGATATTTCTAAGGCCTTTGACCGTGTGTGGCATGTGGGTTTGCTGGCCAAACTTTGATGCTATGGCTTGTCAGATCATTTTTGTGTATGGCTCTTCAGCTTCGTGTGAGAACGTTCCCTGCAAGTTGCCGTCAATGGATATCTCTCGAATACTTTCACCATGAACACTGGTATTACCCCGGGATTCATATTGTTTCCAACTCTCTTTTTATTGTTGTTATATATGCCCGTAGGTTTCACCCTGTATTATACGTTCAGGTAAAAAGCTTTGCAGTTTTTATATCTCAAATGATTTGAGTGAAACACAATAAAGCAGTACCAAAATAACAACGATAGCAGACAGTTGCTTGTTTTATTCAGTTGACCTTGACCGAGTCTATAACAATTGTATATCAGCGACTTATTGTAAAAAACCAAGAATCCAATATATTGCTTTACTGACGACAGCACACTGGTAATTCGATTTGGATTCCAGGACATAGGCTACGGAGGCACCTCTTCACGGGCAGCAGGAGGTTGCATATCTTAATGAGGATATAGAAGTGATTTTGAATTGGGGTGAAAGCAAACAGGTTCAATTCAATGCCACAAAAACCCAGGCATCAGTTTTCTCCAAGAAGATAAATGTCTCCGAACCGGATATAATGATGTCAGGTCGGACAATCCCGCTTTCTGCTTCGATAAGTTTGTTGGAGGTTAAAATGGATACTAATATATCGCTGGAATTGCTAAGACTGCTTCTTAAAAGCTTGGAACACTGTTCCAAAACAGAAAACTGTACACACCTCAACAACTTTTGATGCTTTATACAGCTTAGATCAGACCTTTTTTTGGAGTATTGTTCTCATGTATGGAGCTCTGCCCCCAAACATACCTTGAAGTTGTTGGATTTCATGTAGAAAAGAGCCATCCGCCTGATTGGAGACGTGAACATCACGTGCAGCCTTCATAACCTGGAACATCGAAAGAAGTTGGAGATTTGGCTCTCTTCTATAGATACTTTCACGTGAACTATTCAAGTGACTTGACACATTTGATTCCACCAAGAGCGGTACATATCAGAAATTTGCGACGGACTGTGGCTGCTCCTCGTTTTGAGGTTCAACTTAGTACACTTCAGACTTCACTGTTTGAGAACTCTTTCATCTGGAGAACTGCGTTTATGTGAAACAAACTTCCTGAGAACGTTTTTCCAAATGGATTTAATCTCCAGCGATTCAAATCTAATGTACCAAAGTATCAATAGCGAACGTTTTCGGCGAATTTGTGAAAGTGGAGAAAAGTGGTAATCGTTATGTGGTGAAAGGCCTCAGCTCAACCAATATGAAAGCTGAACTGGATTCTACTCTAGGTGAGCCCACTCCTTCGTTTACAACAGTGAAATATTGGGTAGCAGACTTTGAACGAGGCTGTACGAGCTACCAAGATGAGCATCGCAGTGGTCGACCAAATGAGATGACAAGTCCAAAAACGGTGAAGAAAATCCACAAAGCGATACTGAATGATTGTCGACTGGAAGTGCGCGAAAGCAGACTTAGTAGGCATTTCAAAAAGTGCGGTACATCGTATGTTCTCTGATAATTGGCACATGAGAAAGCTGTGTGCAAGATGGGTTCCGCGTTTGCTCACACTCGAGCAAAACCAGTGCCGTGAAGATGTTTCAATTGAGTGTTTAGCAAAGTTCCACAGCAACAGCAGAATTTTTACGTTGTTTCATAACCATGGATTGAACATGGGTAAGTCCGAGACAAAAGAACAATCAAAACAGTGGACTCAGCAGGGAGAACCGGCTGCAAAGAAGGCGAAGACCGTTTCATCATGGCAGATCATGGCATAAGTTTTTTGAGATGCGCGTGGGATCATTTTCATTGACTATCTTAAAAAAGGTAAAACTATCAATGGCGAGTTTTATGCGATCTTATTGAATCGTTTGACTGAAGAAATCAAGAATAAATGGCCGCATGGCTATGAGTTGAACAAAAAATACGAGATTTTGAATCCAATTGTTTTTTCCTTTTGAGTTAAAGCATTTCCTCAGAAAAACTTTCATTTTAGATAGTTGACAATGTTTTATGGTGAGTTTATTCAGTTCAGACTTCATTTTCCAATATGATATAATATGATTTGAAATCCCTGAAAGAACAAATGAAATTGAAAAGTAAAAATCATGACATTACCCGAAGATGATTGTGGATACTAACAACCAGAACTTCGTTGAAGTAACTTGGTTTGGAATCTTTTTAATTTTTATTTCATTTCAATTATTCAATTTTTTGTTTATTTTTATGGTTTGACTATAATTTCATTTCAGGATTTTTGCTTAATATAATTGTTATTTTCAGCTAATCATTTTTAATTTTCAATATCATTTGTTCTTTCTCAGATTTCAAATCATAATAATCATATTAGACAATGGAAGTACGAACTAATTAAATTTATCATTTAAGGATTGGTTTCATTCTGAAGCTGTTAAGAGTGAAAGTTTTCTCATTTTATAACTAAAACAGAGAATCCAAGCCTCAGACTCTTTTAAGTTGAGTTAGATTTGAATATTTTTCGGATATTGTTAAAGTGACAAAAAAATCACAAGTGACAAAGTACTTCATGATTGTGTTAAAAATATGCTTTTAGAAATATGCTATTATAGTTACCAAGATTTTTTAATTGACAATCTCACAAACAATCAAATTCACAGTTGATGTAATTTTATTAAATTGTATGAATGGTGTAAAATGTTCACAAAATTTTTGGGCACATATGCTTATTATTTGTATATGTGTATGTGTATATGTGAATATATGTGTATATCTGTTTGAAAAAATCTGTTTTTCCGTTAATCAGCTGTGGCCCCCATAGACAACTCTCAGAAGTTGAGAAACTTGTGCGAGTTGAGGACTGACGAGGTCTTACCTTTTAACGTGTGATTTATAACACGGTTGCAGAATCATCACCGCTTCAAACAGATAAATTCTCTCGAGAAAAATATCTGGTCGAGGCGGGAATCGAACCCACGATCTTCCGATCGTAAGTCGGGCACACTACCACCGCGGCCAATTCCACATGTATATATATACAGGGTGTTCCTTAAACACATGCTAATATTTGAGGAGGTACTTCTTAGACCCTTTTTAAGGAAAAAACGTCCTATGGACGTATGTCCTAAACGCCTTAACTTTTGAGATACAGGGTGGCAAAGTTTTCAAAAATAATCAGTTTTTTAATAATAACTGAGATAATTTTGTAGANCATTCAAAATTTCCATAACAATCATGTGTGGGCTGAAGAAAATCCCCATGCAATAACCGAAACCCATTTCCAACACCAATTTTCGGTTAATGTATGGGCAGGAATTATAGGTGATCATCTAATAGGCCCATTTTTTCTACCAGGAATCAATCCAATAAAATAAAAAGCATTTGGAAACGCTAGTTGAATTTTTACCTTTTTAATCAGCTGTGCTAAAAGAACAGTAACACACAATTCTAAAGGCTGAACTATTAATGACTTGTTTTAGCACACATTAGATTCACTTTCATTTCATTTGAAGAATTATTACTTCGAACACAAATTCAAGCTCCAAATGTCTCCTTAGCTGCATCGAAGAATCCATGTACTTGTGTAACTTTAGCTCCTGAAATGAGAACCATTCAAGGAATACGTGTCATTAATCCAAATCGACAGCTTTCGACAAAACAAAATTGAATGGGATAAAACATCAGAGTTTTATCTACGTTAATATAGATCGTTAATTAATGAAAGGGCCGTACTAGCCCATTCTCA